TCATTATTATTATTATTATCATCATTATCATAGTTGTTATTATCATCATCATTATCATTACTAGTATCACTATCATTTCCATTAAAATCATTATCATAAACATTATCATTATAACTATTGTTTTCAGTATTGTTATTATCATTATCATTATTTCTATTCTTCTTCTTCTTATTATTATTATTATTATTATTATTGTTATTATTATTATTATTATTATTATTATTATTATTATTATTATTATTATTATTATTATTATTATTATTATTATTATTATTATTTATTATTATTATATTATTATTATTATTATTATTTATTATTATTATTATATTATTATTATTATTATATTATTATTATTATTATTATTATATTATTATCATTATTATTATTATTATTATTATTATATTGTTATTGTTATTGTTATTGTTATTATTATTGTTATTAATGTCATTGTTATTCTTATTTTTATTATCATAAGTATTGATATTATCATAATTATCATTATCATTATCATTATTATGGCTCATATTATTGTTATTGTTATTATTATCATTATCATTATTATTATTATTATTATTATTATAATAAATTATTATTATTATTTATTTTTCATTATTATTATCATCATTATTGTTATCATTATCCTTATCATTACAATTATTAATGTCATTGTTATTCTTATTTTTATTATCATAAGTATTGATATTATCATAATTATCATTATCATTATCATTATTATGGCTCATATTATTGTTATTGTTATTATTATCATTATCATTATATCATTATGTTATAACTATTACTATTAGCATCATAATAATCATTATCATTATGATTATTATTATTATCCTTATAATTGTATTTATTATTTTCTTTATTGCTATAACTGTTATCGATATTGTAGTTATTCTTTTTATTATCATCATCATTATCAATCATTATTACTATTATAATCATTTTCATTATCTTCTTACTACCCTTATCATTATCATGATTATTATTATTATTATTACTATTATCAATATCATTGACATCATTACTTTCATTGTATTATTATCATCATCATCATCATCATTATAATTAATATTACTACTATGATTATATTATTTCTATCATTATCATTACAGCTACCATCCTCCATCGTTTTCATCAGTATTACTATCATTATTATTACTATTATTATTATCCTTATTACTATTATTATCATTATTGTTGTTGCTATTACTAATAATGTTCTTATTTCTATTATTATTATCATTATCATTACTTTTTTTATGATTATGAAACTATCATAAGATTTTAAATTATAACAATAATAATAATTATGATGATTATTACCAATATTAGTATAATTATTGAATTTGTAATCATTAGCATTGTTAGCACTACTATCATCTTCATTATCAGTATCATCACCATCATCATCACCACGGTCAGACATGTGCACCTAAGCAGAGAATCTGTACTTTATAAACATCAGATAATTCACCACCAACGGACCCCGATAGGCAAGTTCCGATAGCTCGGTGGGCAACGCGCGTGGCTCACGTGGGAGCGGCCCGGGTTCGCGTCTCGTTCAAGGGAGGTTGCCAACTCTTACGTATTCTTTGTCATTTGCATTGTTGCTATCGTTGTTTTATTCATTTTTATCATTATTGATACTATTTTATTGTCATTGGCATTATTATTATTGATATTATAATTGTTGCTGTTGTTATTTTTATTATATCATTGATGCTTCTATTATTATCAATGTTTTTATTATCATAATCATTATCATTATCATTGTTACTATTATAATCGATACCGTTATTGTTATTATTTATGTTATCATTATTATTATCATTCCCAATATCATTACTTTATCGTAATCATTATCAATATCATTATCATTATCATCATGATATTATAATGATAATGATAGTAATAATGATGATGGTGATAATAATAATAATAATATAATATAATAATAATATAATAATAATATAATAATAATAATAAATAATAATAATAATAATAATAATAATAATAATAATAATAATTAATAATAATAATAATAATAATAAATAAATAATGATAATAAATAATAATAATGACAATGATTATCATTATCATTATCATTATTATTCTGTTATTATAATTATCATTGTTATCATTTTGTTTAACTTTATTATTATTATTACAATTATTATTATTATCATTATCATTACCATTGGTTTTATTATTCTTTATATTATTGTTGTAATTATCATCATCATCATTATTATTCTTATTGATATGTTATTATTATATTAACATTGTTATCAATAGTAGTATAGTAATAATAATATTAGTACTAACGTCATGATCATCATCATTATTATTTTTATAATTTTTTTATTCTCATTTCTTAGTAGATTAATTGATGATTATTATTGTTGTTATTATTATTATTCATTATTATTGTTATTATTGTTATTATTGTTATTATTATCACTATTGTTCTTGTCACTTTTTCACACTATCTTATCATTATTATTATTATTATTGTTATCATAATAATTTATATAAATTATTATTATTTTTTATATTACATTATTATCTATTATTTATATTATTATTATTATCATTATTATCTATTATTATTATTATCATCATTATTATTATGACTATTATCAATTAATTATTATTTATTATTATCCATTATTATATTATGCACACGATATTCTGAGGCACATATTCAGGCGAGTATAGAGTACCGTTACATTACAATGAGAGACTATTAAGAGGATATGATATTATATCTATCATCATATAATGATAGGATGTCCAACGATACGCACGAGCGATTATATTATTATTATAAATATAAATAGATTATCATTTCACTGTTGTTTTATCAACAATTTACCATTATTATTATCATTATATTGTATCATTAATTGTTATGAGCTACTTTTCAATTAGGGCACTGGAGCATATATATGTATATCGGGTGTTGATCTGAGAGCTACAGTCTATCTGATGATGCGAGCTACTGTAGCTATAATCTTGCTCGTGCTAGACTAGCAGGACACCACGGTCACATATATAATAGATCGAGAGATGCGATAGGAGAG